TGTTTAAGATATTTCTACCTTTTTGGAAACGTTTTTATACCACGTAACACAGAAATGTTTCGTTGGAAATTTTCGAAGTTAAATATAAATATGTATGGAGACTTTTTATTTATTTTAGTTGAACCAGATTTGCATAGAGAAAATTGAATCAAATTTGACGATAATGTTGAAAATTAAATTTAATAATGCCGAATCGATTTTCTATTATATCGCTGTATTCATTATTTTAATTAAATATTTAATGAATATTTGATTACTTCCCGGTTTAAATAAATTGGAAGTTGGAAGATTTGAACTAATTTTATTATCTTATAAATAATCTTCTATTTTTAATTGAATTTTATTTACAAATAATTCTTTTATTCTATAATAATTGGATATTATGATATAATATTAATTTACTGTAATGGAAATATTTTTCCACTGTTATTCGTTGTTTGACAATTTTTATAAGTAACGTTTCATTGATAAATAATTTTCTACAACTGAATTGCAGAACCTGTTAGAATAGCAAATTGTCGAATTTTATTTTTACAATTAATAAAAACTTACAATTGTTTTTTGGCAGAATTAATTTTGGTTTTCTGTAATTCCATTTTTAACAGAAAAACCAGAAAAGCTATTAATTCTAACAAATCATAAAGTAATTATTAAAATAATTATTACGAATTTTCATAATTTATAGATCAAATAAAATACGTTTAATAATCAAAACACAGTATTAATACAGTACGACAATAATTCTATAAAAGAAATATACAAAATAAGTACGAAATAAAAATAAGAAAATAAATGAAAAATGAAATCAAAGTTAAGAAAAGAATTATTGAAAAACAAAGTATAAATAAGAAAAGAAAGAATTAGAAATACCTTCACGAATGAGTAATATTCTAATTATACAAGAAACCTCGAGAATTACTTCACTCGATCGAGTTAAATCGCTTCTGGTATGCAAATTAGTTTAGCCGTGTCAGCGAGCACATATCGGAACAATTTAAAAACCGACTTAACGTGAACATTGAACGAGCTATGTGTACCACGTTCAGGAAAGAATTCCGCTTTCTAATTCTTTAATCGATTCGATTCTCGTTTTGCATTCTTCGCGAAGTCATCAGTTCGGAACGGATCATCCGGTAATAATATGGATTCGGTTGGAAAGGCCAACTTAAAAGGAAACTTTCGATTTCGATTTGTCTACAATGAACGGACATCTTAGACTTTCCATCTCGATGCCACTATTTTTCCCTCGCGATCATCGATTCCAGTCGCGAGCCATTCGTATTCAATCTCCAATTTTAGCCAAAAATCGAAAAAGGAAATAATCATTTGTGAATTGCGACGCATTTTCCGTCATCTGAGATTCGTAGATTAAAATTAAATTATATGTATTAAATAGCAGAGTTCGTCGAAATGTGTACTACTCAAAAATTGACGAAAAAGGCAGTTAAGAATTTTGTTACTTTAGAAAATTCTTCAGTTAAGCTCCTATTCACGTAAAGTTCATTGATATTAATATATGCAGAGCTAATTTTAAATTTCAAATACTAGAATTAGAAAGAAATTGAATACAAATGTATTTGAGAAAGTAATTTTTACATTTCCTATTCTTAGTTTACTATTTTTGGATTAAAATACGATAATCAGCGTTGAATCGTAATCGTACTTGTATTTGCAAATTGAGAGAGTGAAACTGGGACAAATTTCTTAGTGACACGTGTTTCATTACGAACACTGGATGTTGGCCAACTATAGTCATCGATAGTGTACAGGAAGTATCAGGCTGTGTGACCATAAACTGATCTTAGTCGTATTTAAACACAATGCAGATGCGCGATGCAATTATATGATTTCTCATTTGTAAAACCACGCACAGTCCAGGAAATGATCACCGATGCAATTACGATCTGAAAATCGATCAATGATGTGCGTGTCTCGATACTACGTGTTTTGACAGCTCTGCATATTCAATAACAGAACTCCATAATCCTGTGCATTGCTATGTGCAATGAATTATTAAGAATAAAATCGAATTACACGATGGTGCGAAGATGGCGGTATCATGAGTGCGAGATTGCAGCGACATCTGCATCGGAGCTCATTGTTGACACGTAGCGAACTGTACATATTAAGTGATCACAGGCATAATGTGGCAGACAAGAATTTATTATAGATGATACAATATACGAACTAACTTGCAACAAAATTTTGAGGAATTAATTAATGATTAATGAAATAATGTAACTACTAAGAAAGTATAATAATTAATTAATAATTAGAATTTAACGTTATTTTATAATTAACATTAACATAGTATATTATATAAATATGTTATTTAGGTACTTATTGTTATTTATGTTATTTATGTTATTTATGTACTGTAATTAAATAGTACACATAAAATTAATATGTAAAATGAAGAAGGTGATTTGATGTTAACATTGATTTTATATATAATATTAGTTTCAGTATATTAGAGTATATTATATCAATATATTATTTATGTATTACTTTAATTAAATAGTATGCACAAAATTAATATGTAAAATAAAGAAGATGATTTGATGTTAACATTGATTTTATATATAATACTAGTTTTAATATATCATAGTATATTATATCAATATATTATTTACATACTATTTTAATTAAATGGCATATATAAAATTAATATACAAAATTTTGTGTTTTCCATGCCCCAAACGACAAAAATGCAAGAAGCAAATCAAAATTCCTTTTTCAATCATTAGAAACACAAGACAGAGATCGAAAATAAATTTTCAATAAAAAATTCAATCGAATAAAATACCCATACAGCTTCAAATAAGAGTGTATATATCTCACATATCTCTTATAAATGCTAGAATTATAACGTTGCCCAAACATCGTTAACAATATTAAAGTATATTTAATAGAGAAATAATGGAAAATAGCTAACACAGGGACAAAAAGAAAAATCGTCAAAGGATTTCCAAACGACCCACTGACGTCGAATATTTCCGTATACGTTCACCGACAAGGAAGAAGTCCGAGCGGAGTGCAGGTCGACGAACATTTGCGAAAGTAAAACGCGGCAGAGATCCGCGTGGAACACGAGGAAAGTTCGACGTGGCGTCGATTCGAACGCAACGGTAAATTCGTATTGTCAAGGCGAGTGTTACGGTTAAGCCCCGCGGTCCGGCACGGCACGGCGATGGCTAACAGTACTCGATGCCCGGGTCCCGCGTGGTTCGTGCAATCGCCCCGGATTGCCAACCTTCACGCGATGCAACAGGATGCGCTCGAGCGCGTCCCGGCTCTCCGCTAGCAACGGAAACGCGCGTCATGTAGTTACGCGCGCGTGAAAGTTATGACGAAATCCTTGCACCAGGCTGCTCGCCGGTTCGCCATTCGCCGTGACAGATGACTCTGCTCTCGCGTAGAGCGGCGAAAAGCGCGGGACGCTGATGAATCTTAGAGGTTAGGTACGGCAGTGCCTCGGGAATCGACCGGTTACTTTCCTCGCAAATTTTTCAAACTGACTTCGTGGAGACTCCGGTCTTAGCTAGGTGAAATACAGGGTGTCCCGAACATTGTTACAACTGGACAATTGAGCCATTCACTGCACAAATCGATTAACTCCACTTTTTGAAAAATCTCAAATTTAAGTGTCAAAGCACTTGGTATAGTCATAACTTTTTATATTTATAATAACTTTCCCTGATAATTAAGATTAACACCATTAAACGACAAAAATTTGTTGGCCACTGAATAATAAATAATTTATTTCAGAGATCACTTTGATTAACTCCGTACTCTAATGTAAATCGTTGCAATAATGCAACTCAAATGCACTAGCAAGCCATGAATGATAACGGTGAATTTTTTAGAGCCGTCTTATCAGAATTTAAGTAAAATTTAGTAAAATTTAAATTTATTACTCTTTTCACTTGCTAAATCGATTAACACTTTCAGTAATATAAAAATGGTAACATTACTAACGATTACATTTTGGCTATTTTTTCTTATAAATTTGATATACCGTTAGATGAAAGTTATATTTGTATTTATGCATTCTACGATATTTATTTCGATTTAAATTATAAAGGGAATTTTAAAAAACAATATACATTATTTCTCTGCATTTCTCCACTTTTTGTTTTATGGAGTTAATCAATTTGTGCAATGAACGACTCAATTAATGATTCTACGAGTAAAAGTAGATGGAGAAGAAGACAACATTTTTTCATTTAAAGTTTCGATTTTTGAGGAAAATGAGAAAAATGATCAGCTTTCAGGTATTGAACTGTTTTTGTGGAGTGAGAGACTATCTGAAATATAGGGTGTCCCGAAAATTGTTACAACTGGGCAATTAATAATTCTACGCGTAAAAGTAGGTGGAGAAGAAGATAACATTTTGTCATTCGAAGCTTCGATTTTTGACAAAAATGAAGCCGAACAGCTTTCAGATACCCGTGGATTTGGGATCATCGAAGTTTTATTTATCGTTTATATATTATTGTGTACTAGAAATTTGTGGTACTGAATCTATTATTTCCCCATTGTCCAAAATGCCCCCCTCTCTAAAAAGAAAAGACGAGGAAAATAATTTTTAGCATTATTCAATTTTCTTCCCATTTCTTTCTCAAATTTAGGGATTAAAAAGAGATAAACAGAGCGCGAGAAAGAGGAAGAGATGTCCAAATTTGTTTCCCCATTATCCAAAATTCCAAAAAAATAAAAAAAGGAAAAAAAGAAAATGGAAGAAAAATAATTTAGATTATTTAAATTTCTTCCTTTATTTAAATTATATATTATTTAAATTTCTTTCTCAAATTTAGGGATTAAGAATAAATCTGTGGATAAATCTGTGGGAAACAGGAAAAGATGTCGAAACTCGCTTCTACATTGAAATCGTCATTCACCTCGACCTTCAAATTGTTCTGTGGATGCGCATTATGCATTTGTCGGTTAATGGATTATGCAAATTAATCGATACGTATGGGCTCGCAATGTGTGCTTACCAATGCATACTCTTAGCACGAGAGACACTCTTCTTCGTCGAGTCATCTTGCCGTTCGTTAGATCTCCTCGCGAAATCTGCAACAAAAATTACAATTCGATTTACGCTCACTCGTTAATGACTCTTCCTCGTTTCGTGCTATTTGCTCAGGTAATTAGAGGTAAACGTTTTTATTGCCACATGCGCGTTTTATATCCAATAAGAGTTTATGCAAGATTCGTGTCTTCTTGGTATTGAAATTCCTTACACATAATCGAAATCTTTTTCATATTACATCCACGTATCACCTCTTCGTTTTAAATTTTATAATAAACTAAAATTTTACGTTCCATGTTATTTCGTATTAAAATTATACATTGAAATTTATTATACATATCGAAATATGTTTCGTGTTAAAATGTAGTATAAATGTAAATTGAAATTTCTCTGATACCGAAATTCGTTATAAAAATACAATTTTCTCTGCATTGAAATTAATTGTAAGCATATTGAAATTTTCGTTACGATGCAATTTGCTACAAAAATATTAGAATTTTAGCTGCATCGAAATTAATTGGAAGAATATTGAAATTTTCGTTCCTTTGCAATTTGTTACAAAAATATTAGAATTTAGGTAGATTGAAATTAATTGAAATAATATCGAAATTTTCGTTAGGTTGCAATTTATTACAAAAATATTGGAGTTTTCGCTACATTGAATTTTATCACGAATATATTGAAATTTCTTCCGGATTAAAATCTTTTATAAAAATGGCTCACGTGTTTTATAAACCATACGATGTTTATACAAAATATTCGATGTAAAAACCTGTCCTGTCTTTTTCCGTTTCGACATGGTTGATATTATTATTATCAAACAGAAGAGAATTAAAGACTATTTTACATACAATGCCTGCACTTTGTGTGAAGTATTACATAATAAACGATTGCGTGTATTTTAATGTAATCTCATAGCCTGCATTGTAATGTAATTATGTATAAATTATGAGAAGAAGAAAATATTGAATATTAAATATTGAAATATTAATTATCGTGGTAAATATATTATGATAATTAAATCGATGAATTGTTACGTTGGTAAATATTAAACAAGCAATTATTATGGGGGCTTTATGGGATAAAAAAAATATAAATTTAGTAACATAATATAAAAATTAAAATTAGGAACATAATATAAAAACATAACAGTAAGAAAGCACTGAATATTTTTATAATAAATTCAACATTTCACACAATTAACGCAGCATAATCCTAAATTAAAGTATACTTTTATACATGTTACACTTTTTATACCATTTATATTTTCACACATTTATATTTTCATAGTTTCGCCTTTTTCATACTTTCTTAGTCGTGTTCTTTCACACCTTCGTATCACGTAAAATATATTTACAGGAATTGTTAAATATATACCAAGGGCTTAATTAGGAATGTATTTAATTACAGGAAGAATGTAACAGTCAATCGAAATTACATTCCTGTTAAAAAATTACGTTTGTACGACAAAACCTGCTACTTAACTTTTACCCTTTTATCACGATACCTTGCAATAACGTTTTGCCAATTGATATCCAATCAATCGTAACGAAGATGAACGTGCTTTGTGGTTTCTCGTACGAATAGCTTTGCGGTTTCGAACGAAAATAGAGCAATTCCTGATACGATATTTAATAGAACGGATTTAATTTTCAACGTACGCCATAGAAAATGCTTTGATCAATAATTGAAAAATGCTTCTTTCAATTTTAACGGTGTTAATAAATGCACTGTGAAATGAAAATCAAATTTATCAAGATGAAAATTTAATTTATACCGTATTTTATGCCACATTAATTATCGATTTTAAATTTGAAAAGAATAAAAAACATGACTTATATTTAAGCTACAAAGAATAATTTAAATACTCTGTTACACTTTCCATTTCCAAGAGTATATTTTTCTAATAATATAAATCTTTGGCAAAGATTATATAATTCACCAAAAATATACTACCTGATAAATAAATAATTATATTACAAAGTACAAAATATAGCACACAGCAAAAACATATGCCTCAGAAGAAACAATTAAGAAACAACGTCTCGTTCACTCAAAAGTTGTCGCGAACTTTCCAACGAACTCACTACCCCATCTCCACACTCACCAACCAGCGCCATCTTCACAGCCACGCAGAGCCACCAATCGGAAGCGTCGTGAATTCGCAGCGCGGTTACGGTGAAAATGGTCGTGAAAAAAGAGGAAAAGGACCGTGCAGACACGGTGTACGGGAGCAGAAATTTTAGCGGAACTTTTATCTCCCGTTTTACATCGCTTTACATCGCGCAGTCCCTATTTCGGGGTACCCGGTCGTTCACAAAGCACCGCCCGCGGATCGTTCGCAATTCGACGTCGAAATCGCAATGTCCGGGCGGACAGGTGAATCCTCGTCTCACACAAAACACCTTCGGGGTACCTATTGTCCCTTTGCACGGAATCCGCGCGACCTCGTTCGCCATATGATTCACCCTGCAGATTTGAACTCTACGATAGAAGTTGGGGTACAAGCTGCAACGTTTTGTACAAGTCTACGTGATCGTGGAACTAGTTTTCAGTTGATCTCGATGTTGGATTGGGGGAGAAAGAGATTGTCGATAGTGTACCTGTTAGAACACTTGCTCAACATAATCCGAGAGGTGGTTGAAGAATATTGGTCATTTTTCAGGTTCATATTTGGGATATTTGGATAAGCTTGTAAGATAGGGTGGGTTCGAAGGTATGCTGACCTTTGATTCCATTTATAATATTTCAATGGTATAATAAAGTCTCATAAATTTAGAGTTTTCTAAGATTAGGGAACATTATGCACTGCACAGTGATGTCCAGTCAGGTCTGGTCTCAAAATATTGTTCATTTTTCAGGTTTATATTTAGGATATTTGGATCAGCTTGTGAGAAGGGGTTGATTTGAAGGAACACTGATTTTTGAGTCTATAATATTTCAATGTTACAAAAAGTCTTAAAAATTTAGACTTTTCTAAAATTAGGGAACAGCATGCACTGCACACTGATATCTAGTCAAGTTCGGCCTCTAGCTCTGCTAGTTGTCGAGAATTTTTGCTCGAAGAACAAATTCGTTGTAACGAACCAATCAACGATGTATTGAAGCTTCATCAGAAAATCGACATATTGGAAGTTTGCATAACTCAGGCTTGGAAATCCCAAACGAAGTTTGACAAACTTTGTGAGAAACCGATCGAACAACTGGTCCAACCTTGGAACCACTATAGGCTTCCTCCGCGGTCTCGTCGCGTTAATTTTCAATTCCAAAACCACAGATAGTAATCGGTTTCCAAATTAAAATTCTTCTCGGGTTCGAGGACTTATTTATCCTGATATCTAATTAAATAGAAGATAATGATAAAATAGTTCTCTGTATGAATAGGAAGTCTGACAATATCAAGAAAATGATGATGATTGAGTATATGTATTCGAGGTTAGATTGCAGATTGTAATGTTTAGATAGTCTTAACAGTATCAAAGAAAGGACGGTGATTAGGCACATGAATTGGAAATTAGGTTACAGTTTGCAAGTCTTCTATGTAGGGATGGAAGGAGGGTAATAATGATCAGATAGGTGATTCGAGACAATTCTCTCACAATTAGATGTAAATCATTTATTTGACAGTCTGATTTAGACTTCGTGAAACTTCACACAGGAGATCTATAAATTTTAGGAAGCCTGATGGCTGCATCAGGCAGGAAGAAGTATGATAACAGTGATTAAGTAGAGGATGTAAGGTGATTTTCCTAGATACGGGATCATTTGTTTGATGCAATTTTAAATGTAGATGTGCTCTTTTAGATGTAAAGTCTGCTTCATAAGACACAAATTAAAGTCTATGTTCCTTGAAATTTGATGGTTACGTAGGAGAGGAAGAGATAATGATGAAATTGGAAGTGTGAGATCATTTTCTTGGATGTAGGAACGTCTTTTGATTCATTTTTAATTACAGGTGGGCTGTCCCAAGGCTAATGAACTTGGCTGCCTCGTAAGACACAAATTAAGGTGTATAAATTTTAGGAAGTTTGATGAGCATGAGAAATGAAGATGATTAGATAGAGAACCTGGTGATTAGGCGAGGTCACTTACTTATGCATAGGAATATTTATTTGATTCAATTTTAATTGCAAATCGACTGTTCTAGAGATAATTAGACTGACTGCTTCATAAGGCATAGATTAAGATTTCTAGGTTCTAGGAAGTTTGGTGACTGTACAGGTCAGGGACAGAGATGATTCAATTTTAATTGTGAATGTACTGCTTCAAAGGTAATTAGTTGCTTCATAAAATGTACATTAGTCTCCAAGTTTTAAGAAGTCAATGACTTCTGTAGGGGCGAAAGAGAGATAACGAAGAGAGGTGACCAAATAAAGGATATGAGATCATTTGTTTAGATTCAATTTTAATTACAATTGCTCTACTTCAGAGATAATTCAGAAGATTGCTTCATAAGGCACAAATTAAAATCTCTAAATTTTAAGTAGTTAAAAGGAAGAAGATGACGATGATTAACTAGAGGATACGAGACAATTCACCTACATGTAAAATCAATTTTAATTTTAAACATGTTGTTTTGAAGATAAGAGGATTAGATTCTTCATAGTTAAGTCTCTAAATTCATGAGTAGGAGGCTTTAGGAGTAGGAGTGTAGAGAATAGAGGGAAATTATGATGATTAGATAAGAAATGGAAGATTACTTGCTCGAGATATACAAACATAATATTTGTTTGACTTAATTGCAATCGTAATTTAGTTATATCAGAAGCAATTAAGTTTATTAAATTGTTTGTTTTAAAGCTATTAAGATATAAAATGCAGGTTACAATACCTATAGTATATTATAGGAACTTTAAGCTGTGTAGTGAAAGAAGATAGTTGTAGATAACACTGTCCAACAAATTTTAACTTCTTCTGCAATCAGTAATATCCAGGGTTTGCTTTCCTAAATACGAAAACGTAATCGGAATTGCTCTATCATCCTCAGTTTTCGAAAAATATGAGTTTTTCTAAAAAGAGATGACTTTTGTCTAAAATGAAG